AGCGGCGACACCATGGGGGTCCAGCTCCCACCAGGACCCACAGAGAGTGCCCAGCTCTGGGGCAAGAGCCACCCACAACCTCCCACGCTTCCTCCACTACCCTCCCCTCGCTGGCTCCATCTCAGTCAGGATCGAGCCCAGAGACCCGCACAGGGAGGGTCCCACCATGTGTCCCTCTGCACATCCCTCCCACCAGTGACAGCCCAGGATTTCGGCTCCATTTTAGCCACAATTGAACCCAGCCCACACTGACTCTGCCCCCCCACCCCATGCTCCCAGTACTCAGCACCAGTAGAGTGGCCAGAGTTTGCCAAAGCACCCTTCCCTGATCATTCTTCTCTGGGACAAGCCCACTCCTCCCACAGTGGCTCCACATTTCTCAGAGACATCAAGCTGGTGGCCAGAAGGCTTGTTCGTGCAGGAGGAGAAAAGGCCACGGTGGTGCGTGGCTGCCGCTCCCAGGAGAGCAGCCCTGTGCTTCCAGCACCCATCCCTGTCCCTCCCGATGGACTGAGGAAGAGACCTGCTGGGCTCATGGCTTCTTGGAGGCTCCCGAGCCTCCCTCCGGAGCTTTCTTGGCTGAAACCGCCTTCTCCTCCTTCATCTTCTTCAGCTTGGCCTTGTTTCTGACAGAGGATGAGAAGGTGAGCGAGGCCTTGCTGAACTCCAGGGGGAAGACACCCACATCCCCATCGAAGCGGTTCTTGGACACCTGCAGGTAGCGCTTCCCTGGCCCTGTCACCAGCTTACGGTCCTGCAGGATGAGGACGTTGTCGGCCTCCTGGCTAGCCTGAGGGAAGAAAACCATCTCCAGGAGGTGCTGGGGATGCAGCCAGAGTCACGGGGCTCAGAGGTGCTCACGGGCTGCCTCTGCCCTGCTCCTTCAAACTCTGTTACAGGGCATCCCAGGCCACAGCAACCCCAGCACCTCCCCAACACCAACCCCCTGTCTTTCTCCGTGAACATCTCAAGGACCCACCAGGCCTGCAAGGCTGAGCTGAAGCCACCGCACATCCTGGGGGAATGAGGGAGCACGGGAGGGCCACGAACACTCACAGAGCATCTCCTGCCCACCCCTGCAGGGTTGTTCAGCATCACAGCAAAGACTGAAGCACTCAGAGAGCCCATCCCTGCACCCTCCCTGGCTCCTTCTTTAATTATCTCAGACTACATCCCACTCACAGTCAATGAGCACTAATTAACTGCACCTAAAGCCCCAACAGAGCTTTAGCTGGCAAAGGGTTTGCTGCCTGTCTGCATCTCCCTACCAGGCCTGGCCAAACTGTGACTCCACACACCTTCAGCAGGTGAAACTCCTGTCCTGGGGACATCCTGCCCCTCATAGCACCTTTCAAGTCCCCGGTGATGACTCAGGGTGCTGGTGGGAGCTGGGGACAGCTGCCTGATGCATCCCAGCCCTATCCCTGGGAACATGCTGTGCCTGAGGGACAGAAAGGGCCACCCTGGCCCAGCTCACCTTGGCAGAACCGAAGATGGAGGCCGTCTGCAGCTCCTTCTCATCATCCTCCTTGCGGGGATGGATGACCAGCGTGATGTGGCAGGTGTTGTCCGTGGCGAACTTGCGGAAGGCACCAACAACGTAGTCCTGGGCAGCAAGTCTGCCACGGCAGCGAGAAGAGGGTCAGGGGCTGGCACTGTGAGGGGCAACAAGGTGCTGCCAGGTTCAGCCCTGCAGCCAGAAGCACCAAGGGGCCCGAGCTCACACAGGCAAAGGAACAGGCACGACAGGGATCGCAGGGAACTGGCTCACCCTTCCCCACCAGGGCAGTGATGGCCCCTCAATGAAATAGGTCTGCCAGACAGGACTAAAGGGGACACCTTGTGTGGGTCCCCAGCCCCTGCCATGACACCGGACAGGGCCAGCTCCGGTGACAGGGGTGGTGGAAGAAGGAGGGGTGGCTTGGAGAAGCGTTACCTGTCCACAGAGAGGTTCTCGTGTCCCATCATGAACTGGAGGTTGTCGATGACCACGTGGGTGATGTCATACATGTAGACAGCGTGCTGCATGGTGTCAATCACCGTCCTGGGTGGGGGGAAACCAGGATCAGCCACAGGGAAGAGCAGAGGCAGGCATAAGCCAGGCACAGGGATGGGGAGAGGCAGAATGGGGAGGCAACAGGCCAGTGCTGATGGCAGCTGGCTGCTGATGACCAGGCCCTGTGCACATCCCACCTCCACATCTCCTCCATCACAGGATGGGTCAGCCCCATCCTCACAGGTAAGGGTGGCTGGATCAGGAGGCCCCAGCTGCTGCCCCCACAGCCCCTGCCCACCATCCCCCCAGCCCACAGGGACCCTCAGAGCCCATGGGGATGCGTGCTGGCACCACAGCATCTGGTGAATAAAAGGAGCTGGGGGTGTCTGTTCTCCCTCCTCAGCAAACAGCAGTGCTGGCAGGTGAGCAGGGTGTAGGCAGTCACATCCTGCCAGGGGCAGAAGATGGTTTTGGAGCAGCCAGCTAGCACAGGGGCAGGTCCTCTCCCTTCATTGCCAACCCAGAAGGAGGCTGTCACAGTCCCCACAACAGCAGGGAGCCAGGCAGTCCCCATGTGCCAATCCCAGGACTTGACCAGCCCCAGCGTGCCTCCTGCAAGCCCCACATCCACAACCCACAGTGGGAGAAGAGCCCCAGCTCTCCAGGGCCCCACAGCACATGCCGTGAGGGATAAACGCCATGGGGGATGAAGGTGTAGGACCATACTTGATGTTCTGCTGGCCATGGAAGGTCATGAAGTACAGTGGGAGGTCCTCAAAGCGGTCAGCCCACTCATCGTACAGCTCCAGCTGGTCCTCCAGGCGCTGGGCAGCGAACTGTGTCAGCATGATCTTGGCCAGGCGGACGTTGTTGATCTCGAAGCTGCCCCACAGCGTGCACACCCCCTGTGTGCACAGGTCCAGCGCGTACTCGCTGATAAAGGTTGTCTTCCCGCTGCCCGTCGGGCCTGGCACGAGGACAACAACGGGATGAATTAGCTGGGGAAGAAGATCTGACCTGTCCTGAGTGCACCAGGGAGCTGCTGAGAAGTGGAAGCACCAGGGAATGGACTAAGAGGGGCCCATCCACAGCACTCGCACCGCAAACAAGCAGTGTCTCACTGGCTCTGGGCACACGTGTCCCCCCCAGCAGCCAGTGGGTACCCTGGGTGCAGGGAAGGGCTGGGCAGTCAGTGGGGGGGTCACAAAGAGGGCTCAGACAGGAGCCAGAGGATGGCAGCAGGGGAATGGGACAGCCCAGGAGTCCCTGTGCCACCCCAGCCACGGAGCCCATTCTCCTGCCAACATGCCTGGCCCCACCACACCTGGGAACATGTCCCA